ATAATGAGAATAATGATAATGATAAAAACGAACGCGACGATTCAATAATTATAATAATAATAAATAAAACGAATTTTTTTTTTTTAATTGTCTTCAATAATTAAGTGTCATTCATTCAGTCATTCAATGAATGAATGAATGAATAAACATTCAATGAATTTCTTTTGTTTTTAATTAATTAAATTTTTTTTTTTTTTGAAGGAAAACTCTTGATTTTGATTATTATTTTCCCGATGAGATCTTTTTTTCCTTCTGGAAATTTCGTTTATATTAAGCGGTGTAAAAAAAGAAATAAATTGTTATTCATGTAATATAAAAAGGAACAACAAACAAACAAACAAACAAACAAAACAAACAAGTCTAAAGTATGTTTAGATTATAGGAAGTTATGTGATGGAAAATTATTTTCAATCAATAACTTTGTTTACCACAACAAATATTTTCTTTTTTTCTTTTTTTTTTTTTTTTTATAAATAAGTTAAATATTGAATTTCAATAACAAAATATTGTATTTTTGTTCCACCCCCATTATAGATTTCGAATAATAATAATAATAATAATAATAAAGCGAACGAATACAAAAAGGGTAAGATGAGAGAGAGAGAAAGAGAAAGAGTAAATAAACGAAAAAATGTTTTTTTTTTCTCTCTTTCTCCTTCCATGACAGGATAATCGCACCCTGGAGAAATTTAAAAAAATATTACTTTTTCGCTTTCTTTCGCTTTTCTTCTCTCACTCTCGCTCTTTTTTTTTTTAAATAACGTAATTTCACCCCGGTTAAATAAATAACAGGTGTTATCTTTTTAAAAAAAAATCATTAATTTTTTACAAGAGAATTATAAATTGTTTTAATCATCGATAAAATTTATATTAAACAAATAAATTAACTTATATTACGAGATTTTGAAAAAAAAAAAAAATTTTCCGTAATAATACTGAATGAATGAATGAATGAACGAAAAAGTTTATTTATTTATTTATTTTTTAATTGGATTAAATTAGATTAAATTAAATAAGGGATGAAAAGTAAAAAATGGATTAAATAGAAATAAGGGGATTAAAAAATGAGATTAAAAAAAACTTTTTTTTTCTTAATCCTTTACAGGTATGGTTGTAAACGGTTTTGTTAATGTTGTCATAACGACAATCGAAAGAAGGTTCGGACTTAGATCATCCGAAACAGGTTTAGTCGCTGGCGGTTACGACATTGCTTCCTTTTTATGTTTGGTTCCTGTGACGTATTACGGTAATAATAATAATAATAAAATTCAATTTATTTCCATTGAATTTTTCCTTTTAAAAATAATAATAATCTCTACTATTACAAAAAATACTTTTCCGATTCCTTTTTTTTTTTTTTAATTTATTATTATTATTATTATTATTATTATTAATAAATATTAATGCATTATAAATAATCGAACAAGAAAGAAACTCGAGTAGAAAAATATTTTTAATGAAAAACAAAATGAATGATGCAAATAATAATAATAATAATAATAAATATCGATAATTGAATTTTTTTTTTTTTTTATTGAATCTCGTTACCCTCGATATAATTTTCATCCCCCTTATTTATTTTCTTTCACGCCTCTTCCCCTCCCCCCCCCATCTCGGCCCTTTAAAAACACTTAAATCTCATTTTATTATTCGTTCGATTATAATTTATTTATTTATTTATTTATTTTTTTGGGGGGGATGGGTGGGTAAAAATCCTACAGGAGGAAGAGTCGATGCGAGTAAACCAAGATGGATAGGATATGGGATTATAGTTATTGCATTAGGTTCGTTTTTATTTGCTCTTCCACATTTTACCGTTTCCGCTTACAGGGGAGTACAACAGGATTTAAACGTTTGTTTCGATAATTCATCATCATCATCATCATCATCGTCGTCGGTGAGTTATGAAAAACATTTATGAGAAAAAAAAAATTTTTTTTTAATTTGATTTTGATTTCAAATAGAATTTTTGCCTTACGGATGCTGGAGGAAGTTCAGAATACGTATCAATGAATCTTTGGCTCTTTGTTCTCAGTCAATTGCTCACTGGAGCTGGAGCGGCTCCTTTATATACTTTAGGAGTTACTTATTTAGACGAAAACGTAACTAAAAAAATGTCTTCCGTATATTTAGGTAAAACTTTATAAAAAAAATTTACAATTTAATAAAAAATATTTCTTCAAGTGTAAAATATTATAGGGATTTATTATACGTTGAGCCTTATCGGACCCGCTGTCGGATACCTTTTGGGGGGCGAATTGCTCAAAATTTACACGGATTTTTTAACAAACGATCCGAACGAGTGAGTTTATTAAATTTCACGATTTCAATAATAATAATAATAATAATGATAATGATAATGAAATTTTTTTTTTTAAGATTCGGTTTAACTCAAAATAGCAACGTTTGGGTCGGTGCCTGGTGGATCGGATTCATATTTACCGGAATTATATGTTTATTGATTGCAATTCCAGTTTTATCATTTCCTCCAGCTCTTCCAGGTAGTAATTAATACAATAAGTAAATTATTTAAATTTTTTCCTACCTTTTTTTTTTTGTATAATAAATTTGTGTGCGT